CTGAACTTGTGATTGAAACCCAGCCTTCCCCCTTCTTACGCCGCCGGTCCCCAAAATCCCCACTTTCGCCCGGAGATCTGCCCGCTCCGTTTTGCCACGAAGGGCTGCCGCCGCCGCCGCCCCAGCTTGGCCTGGAGCCCCCTCGGGCTTCTCGCCGGGACCGCGGTTCGGTTCGCCCAGCCGGCAAGTTTGGGTAAATCTGACAAGTGTGGAGAGCGCTTCGTGGCCTTGTTTTGTTTCACGAAGAAAAGGGCGACCTTGGCGTCGCCGTGGTGGGGAAAGCGAGGAGGGCGCTCATGTCTTCTCGCTCGATTCCGAATTGGACCCCGGAGTGGTAGCGGGAGTGCGCGGAGGCGGGCGGGCGGGCCGCCGAGGCGAGGTGCCGCAAAGGCAGGAGGGAAGCCCCCCCTCCCCTCGCGGCCAGACAGAAGGTGCAGCGGCGGGCGAGCGAGGGGGGGGCGAGGGAAGCCGAGCAATGCGTGCCGCGCAAATCCAGTTTGGTTTCTCACTTATGCTTCTAATGGTTGTGGGTTAATCATGGATGAAAGGTTTAACTGGGTTAACGAGCGGCGGCCTCCGTCCTGATTAGCTCTCTAGCTACGCACCGGCGGCAGGAAACGCGGCGAGCGGGAGCCCGGCCTGCGCTCCGGTGTGCCACGTTTCTGATCAGCTCGGAATGGTCCCTCAGACCATATTGCGATGGCAGCCGGAGGCAGACGATGTGGGGCGCTGGGGGGGAGGAGGAGGAGGAGGAGGCGGCTACTTCGGCCCCCTTTTCCACTTCCTCCATCACTTTCTCCTCCCTTTGAACCGAAGCCTGCTGGATCCGGAGCGCGTCTCGGTGGCTCTCAGACCCCCTCTTCTCCCTTCCTCCGCAGGCGGCCGTGGTGGAGGGGGCGAGGGGGCTCGCCAGTTCCAGTCTTCCCCGGGGATCGGCGCCAGAGGGGCCTCCCGGACGGGCGCAGGGACCGGGCCGCCGTCCCCCATCGCTTTGCCGCCGCTCAAGCCCAGCAGCGCCGCCCACACGGTGAGACCTTCAGAGTCCAAGGATGGGGGCGGGTGAGGGGGGGGAGACGGGACGGGACGGCGGTCAATGGATGAATTTATGATTTGGGAAGCTATGTAGAGCCGGTCAAGCCTTCTTATCCCTCCTCCCCCTATTCTCCATTCTCAAAATACAATGTCAGCTTCTCATAAGCCCCCCCCCCCAAAGAACACCAGCCCCCCCCACTTGCTCCTCCTCTAACCTCCTCCTCTGGCTTGGTATTAATAGCAATACATGTGCAAGCTAGAGTCAGGCTGCTAGCCAGCCTGTCTGAGTGGGATGTGTGAATGAACTTTGGAAGGCCACCGGCTGGCTATGGAAGAGCCCTCTTAATTATCCCCGGCATGTCTCAACACGTCTTGGTCCTGTTCCCCATCTGGTTTCAACAGGTATCGGAGGGGACACACACCGGGAGGGGAAAACATTGTTTGGAGCCCTGGAATGTTCTGTGCCAGTTTAGAAATCAAAGGTTTTTTGAGGTGGAGGGGGTGGGAAGTGCATTAAGGTCAAGCTCACCTGTGCTGTTTAATGGGTGCTAGAGTCCCCCCTCTCTCTGTGTATATGTGTGTGTGTGCTTTTGCCATTTTCCCCAGTGAAAGCAGGACCTTTGCCAGGGTGGCGGGCTGGTCAAAAGTGCTGTTTCCCCCTGCTCTGCCCCAGACACAGATGTCTTGTGTGAGAGAGAGAGTTCAGGTTGCTTTTCTGTGAGGCTAGTTCATGATATATGGGCCAATGTGGAACTGAAACAAGATGAGGTGAAGAATGGGCCGCTCTGCAGAATGAATGGAAGAGAACCTAGTGCAGTGGCGTGAAAGGGTGATGTTCCTGAATCTGGTCTTGCCATTCTGGTGTGTGCCTTGCTTTCTCTTAATAAAGGAAGTTCATCCTGCAGTGCAATCTGTGCAGTATGGTTTGGGGAATGCTTCCGAAATAGGAACAGCATTGAAGATGTGGTTGGTCACTTTGCGGTGACACCCTCCCCCCACCTGCTTTAGATTGTGAACCTGGTTGGCTTTTAGTTGTCCTGCCATCTTGGATCAATGACCCTTTTCCAGCAGCGCAGGGGACTGTAAGTAGGTTGGGAAGGGATCCTGTGGTTATTAAACTCAGTTTAACTAAGGAAACAGGTGTTAGCCAGTGGCCTTATTCCAAGGGATGTGATTTCTCACATAATCTTCCATTTGTTGCTAATCGGCTACATGAAACTCCTCAAGCACAATGATCTATCTAGGGCGAGTGGAGAAAGACATCTGAATGTACAGCTAGGTGGACGGTGAAGGCCTCTCATGGATCGGTAGCATTTAATCTTAGGTTTAAGCCTGAATATTGGCATCTGTGCTTAAAGAAAGTAATCTTGTATGTTTCTTAAAAACAGCATTTGCATTTCCAGGAATGCACATGAATCAAGTCTGATAATGCATCAGCTCAAAGTTGGAAAGTGGTTATTAGTGGCAGTGTTTAATTTCTTATATTTCAAAATGTGAACATGCAGAAATGCAGATATTGATAACAGCAGGTTATAAACTATGAATATGCTCACACATGGGCTGCATTAATTTAGAACTGGTTACAGGCTGAACTATTCCCAGTCCATATCAGTTTTGGGAGGTAGAAATGGCTGCTGGCCATTACATGTAGTTAACACATAAATTATTATTTTTAAAAAAAAATGTAATTCTAAAAGGAAGCTCTTCTGTCTTTTTAAGCTGTGGGTAACTTATGTAGTCTGTATTCAGATTTCTACCATCATTTGGCCCTTATATCGACATAGCTTAGAAAAGTTACTTTCTTGGACTACACATCCTAGAATCCCTATGTCCCTATGTTGTCCTGGCCAGTGCCATGCAGCTTGTGGATTCTGGGTGTTATAGTCCAAAAAGGATTTTTTTTTTTGCTGGCTCTGACAGATCTTTGTTTTGTTTTTGTCAGTGAGAGTTTGAAGTCAGAAACAGGAGATTTCTCAAATGCTTTTGTGATCTCACATGAGGAAGTGCTGTGTAAAAGAAGCTTGGGCTTGTATTCTGTATTTATGGCAACCTGTGTTGCTAAGCAGATGGCTGGCTGAGTATTACACATGGAGCTTTCTCCAGGCTAATATGGCTTCATTCCATCCTCCATCTCTGTTACTCTTCAACTCCAACTGCCTAAACCACTGAGTATCTCTCATCGTATTTGAAGTTCCACCATTCTCCTAATTTTTCTTTCTTTTTTCTTGCTTGCCTTTTTAAAACTTCCTATACTTTTTGTCAGATCAACCTTCCCCCCCCCCCCCCCGCGAAGTATAGTCAACTGTTGGACAGAACCCTGCATTTGACATCTGGGGTTCAGAACCCTGTTCACCCATTTAAAAAAAACACCAATGTGGTCCTTGGCAAGTCTTTCTTGGTCTCAGTCCCATGGACTGAAATGGAAATTTATTGCCATTTGGATGTTGCTAATAAAATAGTTCATAAATTGTGTAGGAACTTTGTGAGACACATTCCCAATTTCATTTGCTCTTGTCTGCATTGCTGATGGCATATCCTCCCAGCTCTTTTTTGCTATCATTCAGCACATTGAGGGAAAAAATATTTTCCTTTGTCTGGTATTGTTTTTATTATTATCTTTTTAAAAAACAGAGCAAGATCTTCTTCTACTCTTTTCTTGCAAGTATTGCAAACATTACTTTTTTTTACTATTGAGATGTATTTCTTTATACATCCCTTGTTCTGTACTGTTTTCGGTAACTTTGGGGCAATTTATTTTCTCCTGCATACCTCCCTGAGAGCCTTTCCTCCTGTACAAAGCAAGTGTGCTATATTTCTTTATCACTGAACCTGGCATTTCTCTCCCTTTTCAGACTTCAGCTGGTTGATGTGTTATGGCCACATTGAATGCAAGTTGTGCCATTTTGCTGGTCGTAACTCTTGCACTGAAAAGCTCCTGATCTACTTAGTGAAATGTTGCACCCTTGAACAATTTATGAAAAGATCACAACCCCTGTGTGTAGTTATATAAAAGGATCCCTAAATGATTGCTTTAAGTCATGGAATGTTTCTCAATGTACCTGCTTAGTTTGGCGATATCCATATGATGATGGACATTTTCTCACAAAAAGGGGAGGGGGGCTGCAGAGGGGGTGGGAACCTCCCAGACTGAACTCTGTTGTAGTTTTTTTAACGAACTCTGTCCAAATCAAAAGATCTGCTTCACATCTAGAAAAACAATGCAGAATTATAAAGCAGATTTTCCATACTTGTCATCCCCAGATATTGTTGGACTGTCACTCCCATCATCCTTAGCCATTGTACATGCTGGTTGTGGCTCATGGGATTTAATACCCAAGAGCAGCTGGGCATCATAGGCTGTGGTGGAATGCTTCCCTCCTGAATCTGATGTGAGAAGTAGACAGTTATTCTGCTTCTGTCTTTTCATTATGTAATGGTGTTATGAGGTGTTTATAATTTTCAAATTGTCGCATGGTGGAAGCCCCATTTAAACCACTGATGGTATGCAAGCCGCATCAAAGCAAAAAGCAAAAGCGTGCTGCTTATATACCGCCCCATAGCGCTTCAAGCACTCTCTGGGCGGTTTACAATTTAATTATGCAGGCTACACATTGCCCCCCCAGCAAGCTGGGTACTCATTTTACCAACCTCGGAAGGATAGAAGGCTGAGTCAACCTTGAGCCGGCTACCTGGGATTTGAACCCCAGGTCGTGAGCACAGTTTTAGCTGCAGTACAGCGGTTTAACCACTGTGCCACGAGGTTCTTCTTTGTGAAATGCACATGTGTCCTGAACAAGGATGCATGCCAGCTGGTAGTTGTAACTAGCAAAATGTTCTCATAGTATTCTGTTCCTGGTCACAGCTAGAGTAGACCTGTTGACCCAGTAGAGTTTACATAGCTGTCGACTTGCCATTCAGCAGTTGAGTCACTGAATCCACTCTGCTCTAGCTGAGGCTGAAAAGAAGACAGCAGGCAAGGTCACCTATTAGAAGGCTGATGATTCAGTTCTGTTCATGCTCATTTCAAAGGCCCATTGAGGAAAATGAGCCTTGTTTGCAAATAAACAGGCAGACAATTAGTCTGTGACAGTTGCCTAAAACGTTTACAGGTGAGTTAATGGACAAAATAATATTTCTTCCTCTAAAATAGAAAGTCGGTGTTCCATTGAACAGTTAGAGCCATAAATATTCATAATTTGAGCACTGAAAACATTGCAAGGCTTGGGTGATTGAAGGTTGTAAATAAGAAGTAGATAGTTTTCTTACAATACCCGGTGTGATGTAGTGGACATAGTGATGGACTAGGACTCAGGAGGCCTGGGTATGAGTTCCCGCTTAGCCATGGAAACTGACTGGGGGGAGTGGACCTGATAAAACCACTGCTTAAATCTCTCACTGACCTTGAAAGCCCTATTAGGGCTGCTATAAGTCAGTTCTGACTTGAAGGCACACC